AACCCGCCACCTTAGGTGTACATGGCTGGCGCCTTAGCTGGTTGAGCTATAGGCGCCGAGCCAGCAATTATATCTTTGAAGGAAACTGGCCCCAGAGTCAGGTGTGGTGGCTCACATCTGTAATCATAGCACTCTGGGAGGCTGAGATGGGTGGACTGCCTGAGCTCATAGCTTCGAGATCAGCCTGAACAAGAGTAAGACCTCATCTCTAAAAATAGCTGGGCACTGTGGCTGGCACCTATAGACCCAGCTACTCGGGAGGCTAAGGCAAGGGGATTGTTTGAACCCAAGAGTTTGAGTTTGCTGTGAGCTGTGACGCCACAGCACTCCACTGAGTTACAAAAGATTCTGTCTCAAAAAGAAAGAAAGAAAAAAAAAGAACCTGCCCCCAATAGAATGGAGGCATTTGTCCTGAAAAGTCCAACACAAGAAGACCTGCTTTGCAGCTGGATGTGGTGGCTCACACCTGGAATGCCAACACTCTGGATGCCAAGGTTGTGTGGATTGCCTGAGCTCACAGGTTGGAGATCAGCCTGAGACCGAGTGAGACCCCCATCTCTAAAAATAGCCAGGTGTGGTGGTGGGTGCCTATAGTCCCTGCTACTTAGGAGGCTGAGGCAAGAGAATTGCTTGAACCCAAGAGTTTGAGGTTGCTATGAGCTATGACACCCAACACTCTATCCATAGCAACAAAGTGAGACTCTGTCTCCAAAAAGAAAAAAAAAAAAGATCTGTTTTGTCCTCAATTATCTAGGTGCCATCAATGCTCAGATCTGATTCAAAAAGGAGGTTATCAAGTTGCTCATTTGGGTGCATGATAAAGTCCACCTTGAAGAAATTAGGACCTGAACACTTACAGAGAATGTGGAGGCCATTGTCCTGTTGCCATGGACGGGGTGAGGCTGTGGCCTTTTCTGTCTTAGGAAAAGCTAAGAGTTGTGAGTGATGCTTTGTCCACTAGGCTCTCAGTCAAAGTCACCTGATGTCTGAAGCTGGGGCTCCCTAAGCAGCTGGCTGAGTCAGCCACACTAGGAAGCCCAGTGTCAATGCCCAGCTGTGGGGGTTCTCCAGGTGCAACAGGGAGACATGCTGCAGTGGTGGTCCCTCACCTGCACCCAGGGTGGCTGTGCCTGGACCTTCTACCAGATGTTTTTGGAGGTGGGAGTGGCACTTCCCCTGACAGGGAAGTGCTGGGCCGTACTCTCCTGGGCAAGCCACAATCTAGTGCTGGTAGTCTTCCTAGGTGGGTGTGTACTCTTTGTTTCTGTGTCCTTAGGCCACTGATACCTGAATCGAGGGCTTACTGGTTGAGGTGAGTAGCACCTGGGGTGTCAGATACAAGGGGAATTCCTGCTCAAGGGAGGAAGAAGCTAGCTGCACAGCTTTCCCTGCTGTGGTGGCCTATGAGCTGCCTCTCCATCCTCACAAGGGGGTGGTCACTGGGAGTATTTTAAGAATTCAATCAGAAGGCAGTATTCCCAGATGGGGCAGCCCTTCAGTAAATATAGTTCTGAATTTAAAAACCTTGAACTTCATTTGCACACATGAACTTAGTAAAAAAAAGCAACAAAAGCTCTCTCCCCCATGTGCTGAGCACGTGGTAGCACTCCTGCCAGGCCATTGCAAGCTACCACCACTCTCAGGGAATAGCCACCAGCAGAAGTCACAGAGCACAGGCTGGGGCCCAGTGACTCCATGCCTAATAATTCTCTGTAGAATATAAATAAATGGATATTAAAAGACACATGTGGATAGATGGAAATGCAGAAAGATGCTACCATTAGGCACCAGGTAAAGCCAGTAAGATGCCAAGTCACCCCACTAGGATGGCTATGATCAAAGACAGAGAAATGAGCGTTGTCAAGGACATGGAGACTAAACTCTCCCCAGAACTGCTGGATGGCATGTACAATGGGACAGCCACTATGGAAAGCAGTTTGCCAGTTTCTTTTTTCTTTTGCAATTTTTGGCCAGGGCTGGGTTTGAACCCACCACCTCCAGCATATGGGGCCAGAGCCTTACTCCTTTGAGCCACAGGCGCCAGTTTCTTTTTTTGTTTTTTTTTGAAACAGAGTCCTAAGCTGTTACCTGGGTACAGTGCTATGGCATCACAGCTCACAGCAACCTCAAACTCTTGGGCTTAAGTGATTCTCTTGCCTCAGCCTCCCAAGTACCTGGGACTACAGGTGCCCGCCACAATGCCCAGCTACTTTTTTTGTTGTTGCAGTTGCCATTTGTTGTTGTTGTTTTGTTTTTTTTAGCTGGCCCAGGCCAGGTTTGAACCCACCACCCTTGGTATATGTGGCAGCACTCTACCCACTGAGCTACAGGCACCACCTTGCCTGCCAGTTTCTTACTAAATTAAACATTAAATTACCATTACCATAAGCCTCAGCAACTCTACTGCCAGGTGCATACAGGAAAGAAATGAGAACACGTTCATGTGGACCAGTGGTTCTCAACCTTCCTAATGC